CAATACGATGATGTGGTTTGGTTTCTAACTCATCAAATTGGTCAGACTATAATTTACATTGCATTCAAATTATGCGTATACGAACCTGTCAAGTTGGGAAGAGGGTTGGGTCTTCATAACCCATATGAGTAGGAGTACTAAGATTTATGTCAAGTCTTCATAGTTGCGTAATTTGAACATAAATAATCAAAATACACCTTCGAGCTTCATTGAGTATGAACTCACAAACCTCATTGTCTATGACTTAAATTATTGTGTAACCTCAGTTATTTTGAAGACGTCATACAAGTTCAACACTACATGTCTCACTATTACGGCGCAATGCTCGAAGAATTCGTATATGTAACTTTTCAAGTGTAAGATTCCACTTTATTTCAATTAGACGAGTCTTTCCACCAAGGTATGAAGGGATGAAATCCTCGGTGATGTTCAAATCACCATCGTAATACATAATAAAACGTGACATTATCTGTGATGTGATCTTTGTATCATCTTTAAAGAAAAAATCTCACTAAAATAACGCTCTTTGGACTTTGGATTAATATTTATGCTTAAATATCTTACAGCAAAAATATTTCAAAACCACTTTCTTTTCATTGAATTTTGAATATTCGCTTTAGTATGCATAAATTTAAATTTTTTTAAAAGAAATATTTATAGATTTTTTTTAAGTACTATAACTTTATAATAATTAATAACTTGCCTGCTTAAATCAACATAAAATAAAAAAAAATTATAATTATAATAATTAAATGTTGGTTTGTCAAATCTCAGCTATCTCCCAAAAAATATCGTATAATACATTAAATCATTGAGTTCTAATTAACAATGACAACTGCTCAAAACAAGATGTATTATAAGACACTAGCTACTACAAAATACAACATCTAAATTAGCTCTGAAAAAATAAAACAGACTAAATTTAACATTGTTCTGGTGTAATGTTATATTTTTGTAAAAAATAGAGCAAATAATTTAATATCATTGATAGCTTTTTTAGAAATAATCATTCTGAATAAATTTTAACAAATAATATTGTACATCTCTCTAACATAAAAATATTAAAAACATAGTTAAAATATACTAAATAAATTTGGACACTTTCCTGATAAATAACAATATGAAAAACAAACCAAAATAATAACCGAGGAAATTACACATCACAATATTTATATATTACAAAAACTTTAAAAATAAAAACACTAAATCATCTTCAATAACATTCTAACCACTAAATCTATAAAATAATCTAAAAATTTACAACTTAAATTTTGTTCAGTAAATAATAATTAAAAAAAACCTAGAAATAAAATACCTCAAAAACATAAATAATAAACCTAACTATCGTTTACATCATCTATAAATAATTACATTAAACAAACTAATTAAAGATAAAATAAAATATCTGAAAAGTTTGAATGAGATCTTCCAAATAAAAGCTTGCAATCTGATAACAAGTTGCAAAGTTCATCCCCTCATATTTTATAAGCCTTCTTAAGTTCTTTTTTTTTTTTTTTTGAAAATGCAACCAACTGCATTAATCACTAAAAAGAAAATACAAACTACATGCTAATAGCATTTGATTCCTCTTTTAAAAAACTAATAAAATAAGGAGGAACCTTATTCATACTAATGTCTTTCCAAAGAAAAGAAAGAGATCATAGTTAGCATATAAATATTCTAATTTATTACAATTCCTATCTATACAGTTGAAAATCACATAATTGAAATCCTTGACAAAAGCAAGATCTTCCATTCCCTGACCACATCTCCTAATTGCATCTTGAAGAAACTTAATGATGTTAGCATTATCCCCTTCGATGATAAGACCCTTATATTTGAACATCCAATCTTTTATAACATCCTTGAGAGGTTGAATAGCTAAAAGTTCCAATCGAGAAACATCCTAATGTACACAAGCATGTCCAAAAGTCAGAAGAAATCTACCTTTGTAGTCTCTGAAAACACCACCAATTCTAGCTTTATACGACGGTAATAACAATGCATCAACATTAACTTTGATCCAATCGGGTGGAGGAGGGTGCCAATGATTATCCATCAAACAACCATCTGTAATGAACTGATCCATCGTTACTTCACTATTTTTTAAAGACAACAAAAATGTAGGCCACCTATTTATACTTTTATCCATAACCCAAGTGTCCTTAAGGACATCAATAGACTCACCATTAACAATGCTCCATACAACTATTGACTTGAGAAAATTTCCACCATCAGTAATTAATTTCCAAGCAACTGAGTCAGTCTTCTTTGAAGTTCCATCATCACATAGAGATCCATATTTCAGAAAAAGAACCTTATGCAACAACGAGTCTTTATCTTGTACATATTTTCAAGCAAGTTTAGCCCTCAATGGCCTTTGGTTGCACAAGAATGTAAACCGCGTCCTCCCCATTTCAATGGCCTACACATTACATTCTAACTAACATAATGAAGCCCAAAGCTTCCATTCATCTTATTCCAAATAAAACTTCTACACATCTTATCAATCTCAACAAGAACTTTTTTCGGGATCAGAAAATGTGTACAATGAAATATAGGATAAGAAAGCAATACTTATTTTATAAGCATGATCTTTCTAACTAGCGAGATGAACCCCCCCCCCCCCCCCCCAAAATTTGCAACATTCTCAAGGCTTTATCTATAATGAACTAGAAATATGCTCCTACAAGCCTCCTTAAAGCAATTTTAACTCCAAGGTAATAGAACTCCTTAATAGATTTGAATCCCATAATACGAGAAATAGCTCATTTTTTCCTTTTCCTTACAGATTTTTCAAACAAAATGCAAGTCTTATTAACATTACTTTTTAACATGTCCAACCACAAAAGTCCATTAGAATTCCTCTGATCTCCTTCACTACCTTCATTTTAGCTTCTGAAAAAATAATAATGTCATATGCATAAAGCAAATGTGAAATCCTTGGGCCATTTGAACAAACACATACTCCAATTGAATAACCTTTTTGCATAAAAGCATTTAATAAAAGTTGGGAGTAGAGAATAAATAAAAAAAGGGACAAAGGACAACCTTGACGAAAGCCACTTCTAACATTGATCGAATTTGAAAAGTTGCCATTAATAAACAAAGAGAACCTTGGTTCTTGAACATATTCCATAATCAATTCAGAAAACTTAGATGGGAACCCAAAATACACCAAAGCTTTCACCAAAGCAGACCAGCCCATAGAATCATAAGCTTGCTCCATATCTATTTTGAAAGAGACTAATCCTTTAGAAGTTTAGAATACTTCAACTTATGGAATACTTCCTGTGCTACCAGAACATGATCCGACATCGACCTTCCTTTCAGAAATGCCACTTGCTCCTCAAAATTCAATTTAGGAATAATAAATGACAATCTGTTCAAAAGAACCTTGGTAGACACCTTGTAAACTTTATTGCACATGCTGATAGGTCTATAGTTTGAGGGAATCATAGGATTGATTATCTTAGGTATCAAGACAATTAAAGTCTCTTTCCAAACAACATTCATTTCCCTGGTATAAAAGAACTGATTAATATCATTCCAAAAAGCTTCTTTAATAATACCCTAATAATACTTGATAAAGGAATAAGAAATAACATAATTGCCTAGAGCAATATTGCCGCCAGCCTGCTTGACCACAACCTCCGCTTCTTCAAAGGAAAATTGTCTATTCAACATTCTTAGTCTTCTTCATCCAGGCAGCTCCACGGAGAAGGCCAGCCTTCTAATATACAACTCCTTTCCTTCCCTTTTTCCTTAAAGAAACAAGTTAGAACTTCATCAATATGATGATGATCCTCCACCATAAAACCATTTTCATCTTTAATTTTAAAGATAAAATTAGAATTCCTCCTTGTACTAGCAAATGCTTGAAAAACTTGGAATTACAATCACCATCAACCAACCACTTGACTTTTGCACATTGTCTCCACCATGTGTTCAACCGAGTCAAAGTTGAAGTTAGCTCATTCACTTTTGCTTTGAGAGACCATCTATCTTTAACCGATAGACATCCACTTTCTGCTTCTTTTACTTGTAGCTCCAAGAGATCATTCATAAGGCATTCCTTCAATTGAACTAAATTTGTATGATTGGCTTTACTCCAATAAAACAAAGCCTTCAAAAGCCCTTTTCATCTTGGTGTTAAGGATATGAGAAAAACTCTCAAAAGATTTCTTCCTTCAAACTCCCCTCACCACCGCATATGAAGTCGGGATAGAAGCCCAAACATCTTCAAATTTAATGACTCTCTTAATCATAGGATTGAGATCCATAAGAATTAATAAGATCGGGCTGGATCCGATGCAACTCTAGCCAAATGTTTAAACACCTACAATGGGAAGAACTAATAGCAACTAAATAAAAAAAAAACCCTATCCAATCTCTCTAGAATCCGATCAACACCAGTCTTGTTGTTATACCAAGTGAATCTTGGCTCAACACAACCAACCTCATGAAAGTCATTATTAGCCAAAAATGACTTCATCTCTTTTGGTAATTGGGAAAAGATAAATCTCTTCCCTCCCCTTTTATCTTCCTTAAAAAGTAAACAATTGAAATCCCAACCCACCATCATAGATAAGCCTTCTTCGGTTCGGGTACACATATGAATGACTATTATTGAATTAATGGACTCAATTGATTTTTAGTGGGGGATGGACAACAAAAATTGTGGGAAAAAAAGAAAAGAAAAGAAAAGCTGATTGAGTGATCACAGATGAATATAAGGCAAAAGGATAAAATAAATAAATAAAGATTCTTTAACGAATAATTAACCGCTAGATTACGCATTCAATTGAATAAGGAGAATTAATATGCGGTTTCTATGTTAATTGATGAATCTCAATTGTCCGATTTGTATATAAACCGTGAGAAAAAACCGGATCTCTCTTCTCCCACGGTTTGTAGAAAAACCGGGGGAGAAACCGGATCTCCTTGTCCGGTTTTAAGAATTCGGCTGGGTGCACAGTGTACTGCTTAATTACATTAAAATATTCTGCACATTTCGGTGACACTATATCGTCTCTTCCGCTATCTCTATCTGTGCTCTTGCTTGGGCAGTACGGTATCCGATGGCTCGAGCCTTATCTCAAACCCTAATTCGCGAATCTCAATCTCTTGCCCGCGACCTCTCGCCCTCTGGCCAACGTCTATGCAGCGTCAGACGCGGCGGCGTCCTGCGGCCGCTGCCATGGCGCCTCGCGGGCATTCGCCTGCGCTCTGACCGGCCCGAGGTGGGTCAGCTCCTAGAAATCGACCTCGGCCAGGGTACAGACGCCACAAACGTCGAGGTGGAAGTACTCAGCATGCGGAGGCTGGAGGACGCGATCCAGGTGCTTGTCGTACAAAAATCGGCCCCGGCATGGGTTCCCTTCGTCCCTGGATCCTCCTACTGGGTTCCTCCGAGGCCTCGGGGCCATGGATTTGGTCTTGGGATTTTTGCCCGTGCTGAGAAGTCGCTCACTGAGGAGGAGGCGCTCTCTCGCACGACTCAACGCGGGTGGCCTTCCTCTTCCTACTTCGTAGATGGTAAGGGACGGGATGCTCGTATTAATCGATTGACCTTTATTTTAATGCCATATGAAAGCAATTCGCTTGAAGTTGGGTTCACAGATTGCTAATTTATTTAGGTTTTCCGCATTTTAGGCATGTGGTTCTTATTATTATTCCTGGTTTGTTTGAGCAGTAAGGGGTTCCTTTTTTAATTAGCGTCATGCTACTTGTAATGCAAGTAATGTTTTTGTGTGGTTTGAACATTAAGGGGTTTACGTACAAGTAGGATTTAATCACTCCTATAAACCCAAATTTAGTAAAGCTTGAGAGAATTAAAACCTGTAAACTGTTTGGCATGAGAATTATTAAATCTTGCTGAATAGTGAAACGGTTTGACTATTTGTTTCAGAATTTAAGATTTGTAAGAGTGGAAAATTTATAATTCTGTTTATTCTTGTGAATTACAGGATTTAATAAATTCTGGATTTAATCAATAATGAGGTTGAAATTAGATTAATTACAACAATGGGCTTTAAAGTCCCCAAAATTTTGCTAAGTGAGAAACTGGAATATTTATGATTATCTCACTGTAGAAATTTATTTGATACAATTCAGGATTCCTTCAAGTCTATGAATTTTAAAATGTTTGTGTGCCTTTTTTATCATTAATTTATTTTAGAAGGCCATTTTTTCTCTGTCTTAATTATTTCAATTAAAAATTTGCTTAATTCTTCATGTGTTGTGATTTTGATGCATGATTTTGTATCTTATATTTGATCCGTATTAGAAATCATAGACGACTTTAAGATGTCCAAAATTATGAGGGACCGCTGCCTTAGATAGTTAAGTTTGGTATTACCTGCAGCTTGACTAAAAAAATGGTCCTGGAGTTAGAAAGATGCAATGAAATTAGGGGCAAATGCTCTATCCATCTTCTATACAGACGTAGGTTCTTCCACTTGGCCTTCAACTTTAGTATGTAGTATGATGTCAACTTTATGAAGTTGTTAGTGCTGCTGGCTTAAACTCATTCTTTAATTTCAATTAGAAAATCACAGCAGTATTATCTTTTAGGAAATGACAATTCAGTGAAAATTTTAGGCAATAGTACACGTATACATGTTTGTCACACAGTATGTTGTTGTATGCCACATGATGCGGATATTAGACATTCATGGTGTATTAGCGTGGTGTTTGTGTATGATTAATTTATATTACAAACCACGTATGTTTGAATGAGTCATATTTTTTGTTAGTTCATTAGTAAGAGTGAGGAACCTCTTATTATTTTTATTAATTAGACTATCTATTTGCACCTAGCAATAATTTATCAAACATGCTTTGATTGGTTTTATTATTTGGTTTACTATACAAAGGAATAGGTAGGTTATAATTTGTCGGATAGAATTAATGAAATGTTGTTTAAAATTAGAAGGGCCTAAGAGTATGTTATAGAATATCTTGAAAACTTAAGTTATATTGTATAAACCTGCAATTATTTTTAGCTATGTTGTATGAATTTGAGTGCTGAGCAGAAAAGTTGTTGGTGATAAACTTGTTCAATATAGTGGGAATGAGAATGCTAAGATGGGTGTATTGGAAAATTTGGAAGTCTATATTGAAAAATGATATATTAGATGGCGGGTGAGAAATGCATTTATTGAAGATAATTGTGTGGAACATAGACTTGATATAGTTTGGGTATGTATAACATTTAACAAAGGTTAGAAGATGTAGCAACAAGTTGGGTTGATTAAATTAATGTCAAGTGATAAGAAAACAAAAGGGATAGATCTAAGGTGCTATGGAAAGATTTGCTAAAAGGATTTGAACATAATAAGCTTTCTACCTCAAGAAGCACTTGACAGGTGCAAATGGAGGATAAGTTTTCTTGAAGCTGACTCCAAAATTTTGGGATGCAAATAATTGCTGCTTTTGCTGTGTCTGCTGATGATGAAATGCTGTAACTGCTTCAGGGTTGGACCATTTATTGATTCTCTCAATATCTCTGCTGCTATTTGTTATAGGAATAATGCAGCAACTTTCTCGTTCATTTAGTTTTAACATTGTTTTGTACAAGATAACATATTAATTGTCAGTTCTATACCCATTTTTGCCTAATAGAAAGACGTATAAGTTTAAATTGTCAAATAAGCACAGATGCATGCATGAATTTCAAGGTTCTGGGAATGTACATATTGAGGTGTACCATGGCTATTTATAATATCAATCAATTATGCAGGTTTGATGAGGTTACATGTATATTATGCATAATTTTTTCACCCTAATTAACATGTATATAAGCTCATGGATATAAATAATCCGATTTTGTATTAAGGCAAGAGATAACTATGGGTTTTGTTATTTAGGGTTTGTATTTGAAATCAAAGAAGCATGACATCCTGTATGATGCATGCCCTTGAACATGATAAATTTTTAGTACTTGACTTATGAAAAAAAAAGTGCAACCTTATTTTGTGATTTTGAATGGAATGATGAATTTTGCTTTTTTTTTGGGTGCAAATGTCTTGTTACCTGGAAGATGGCTAGAATTCTGATACGCCTTGGTGTCAATTTCAACAAACTGTAGGAAATTCATAGAAAAATAGTAAAAAAAAACAACATATTTTGGAGAAAATAGTGGCTGATTTTTATTAGTAATTCAACAAGAAACAAAGATACAGGCAGTCTATAATTAGAGAGATAGGTAGATGCCCCTAGGAAGCCCTCACAGAAAAAAAAAAAACTATAACATAAAACTCAATAAAAGATGCATGAAGAAAAATAACCCTTGACCCCTCCTTAAATAAGCTCTCACATTCCCTTCAAAACAGATTTTGTTCCTTATTAATTTCCCCTTTAAATTGAATTTAATTAGTAAATATTTCTCACTTTGATTTGAATTCAATTAGGAAATCTTTCTCTCTTTAATCTGAATTCAAAAAGGAAAATTTTTCCTAATTAATCTTCCCTTTAATTCATTTCCTAACATAATGATTTAATTCCTTATTGGGTCCCACAATAGGGACCAAAATTTTTCCCTTGGATCCTGCTGTCGTATAAATACTCCCCTCCTCAAATTACAACTTTTCTTCAAGGTAGAAGCTCTGTTTAAAATAGCGCAATAAGAGGCGCGCCTCTGCGCAATTTGACCCAAAAACGCCTCGAGGCTTACGCAATTCCTCTCCTGGAAAATCTAGGGTTTTTGATTTTTTGATTTTTTTTATGTGTTTTTGGATTTTTGCTTTAGGAAACATGGTTAGAGGCAAAGAAAAGGCGAATACGTCATTGCGGCTTGATTTTATTGCATCTATTTTCTTACTTTCCACTATTTTCATATATCATTTAGATGTTTTTATTGTATGATAGAATCTAGCTATTATTTACCTGCTAAAACCCTTAAATTCTTATTTACGCAATTCTGCGTCCGTGAGGCTTACGCCTCACACCGCCTCGAGGCTTAATTACGCAATTTTAAACCTTGGGTAGAAGGATGAAAAATGTCTCCTGATTTTCTCATAGGGTTCCCATGCAGCTTCATAGTCTAGTAAATTCTTCCATCAAACAAGGACCTCCTTTTCTCTTGTCATCCCTTGTCGTGCTCCCTTGATCTCCATTGGTTCCAAAATCACTTTCATGTCCTTAGTTAAAGTCGTTGGTTGTGAGGAAGAGGATGTGTGATTTCCGATAGTGCTTTACAATTGTGATACATGGAATACTGGATGGATGGATGATGATGTTGGTAACCCCAGATAATAGGCAACTGCCCCAATACACTCCATCTCCTCATAGGGCCTGAAGTATCGCGGGGATAACTTTTCATTTCTTCTCTTGGCCAGTGTCTTCTGCCTATATGATCTTAGTTTCAAATAAACTTTTCATCTGTGTTCATCTGCCTTCTTTTTCATAAGTTGTTGAGCTCTCAATAGACGCCCTTTGAGTTTTGCTAGTATCATGTGTCTCTCCTCCAAGTGTTGATCTACACTGGATATCAGTGAAGTATTCTGCCCATAGTGTATCAGATGGGGTAGGTCCCTCCCATAAAGGATTTTGAAGGGGGTTCTCCATGCAGTTGTGTGGAAGGATGTATTATACTAATATTTTTCCCATGTTGATAATTTGGCCCATAATTTTGGTGTGTCATATATGAAACAATGCAAGTATGTCTTCACTACTCTGGTTGACTACTTCCATCCACCCGTTTGTGGGTGATATGTTGTGTTTTTTTTTTTTTAAGTCCGTCTCCTGCATTTTGAATACCAAAAAGGCTAAGGAATACATTCTCTCTATCTGATATTATAGATTTTGAATGTCATGTAAGCGTACTATCTCCCTGATAAAGACTGTGACAATTGATATAGCGGTGTCAGGATGTTTCAGTGGAATAAAATGTCATACTTGCTTAGTCGGTCTATTACCACAAGTATTACTGAATACCCCTCCGAATGTGATAATCTCTCAATGAAGTCCGTGGTCATTTCCTCCCAAACATTTTCAGGTAAAGCTAAAGGTTGTGGTAACCCTCCTGATGCTATAGTAAGGTATTTATGCCTTTGACATACATCGCACCTCGCCACCATGTCTTCGACATCCCGTTGCTTTCCCACCCAATATAGCTCAGTGGATAATCAACTGTATGTGTTTTGGACTCCTGAATGTCCCCTTATCGCATTGCCATGAAATTCCTGCAACAGCTTGGGAATGTAACTTGAGAACCGTGGGAGTACAAACCTCCCTTGCTAGAGTAGCTGGTCCCCCTTTAGAGCATAACTGCTATGACTATTCGGGTCCTTCTACAATTCATCCCTGATCTTCCTTAAGTCTTCATCTTGCTTGCTCTTCCTCTCAATGCTTTCCAGTCTAAGATCATTGGTACTGACAAGGCTGCCAACTATGCCTCAACCCTTTTGGACAAGGTGTATGCTGCTTTAATTTCCAAGCTCGGGCAGCAGTGTATCTCAAAGTCATATTCAAGCAAGGATAGCCATCTCTGATGTTCCTTCGCGACCATCTGCTGCTCCAACAAATACTTCAGA